TCCGAAGGGTACTATGGGCCAGACCACGGTCAAACCCATCTCTGAGGAACTCCAAGATCTGGGCAGGTGAGGCTGAAACAGGATCTATCTGCCGGGAACGGCACCACCTATAAAAGGCGAGCCAGGAGATATTGTAGAGTCTGACTGTGGATTTACGTCTGCAGGCTTGAACAATGTGAATCACCCTATCTGAATAATTGTCCTGCCTTAGACGGGCCCCTTCAAGCGCCATGCAGTCAGTTGGAGCCACTGAGGGTCCGGATGAAGAAGGTTCCCCTGACGCAGTACAATCTCGTCTGGTGGAATCCTCCAAGGGTGAAATGTGGAGAGACTGACCAGGTCTGCGAACCACGGACGGCGTGGCCAGTGGGGAGCCACGAGGATAATTTCTGCTCTGTCGGCGATGACCTTCCGAATCAGGGCCGGAATCAGAGGCAGCGGTGGAAAGGCATAGTGAAGACCCGGCGGCCAGGTGAGACGGAGAGCGTTGACCCCTTCCGCCCCTGGCGTCGGGAACCTCGAGAAGAAGCGAGGAAGCTGATTGTTCAGGTGTGTGGCGAAGAGATCTATGGCTGGGATGCCGAACCTGTTGCAAATCTGATGAAATATGTCGGGATGAATCTGCCACTCGCTGTTGTCCACCTCTGTCCTGCTCAGGAAATCCGCCTGTGTGTTTTCCGACCCCGCAATGTGGTCCGCTCTGATGGAGAGGAGGTGTTGTTCTGCCCACTTGCCCAGGCGAAATGATTCCTCCATGAGGCGCTTTGAGTGGGTGCCCCCTTGACGGTTGACATGTGCCTTCGCCGCCATATTGTCTGTCAACACCAGAACATGACGGTGTTGCACGAACCGGTGAAAGTGCGTGAGAGCGAGACGAATGGCCTTCAGCTCCAGCCAGTTGATAGGGTTGGCGAGGTCTGATGCAGACCAACGGCCCTGAGCCACGTGTGATGCAAGATGAGCCCCCCATCCGTGAAGGCTGGCGTCTGTAGTGAGTACAAGTCGGTCGTGATTCATGAAGAGACACCCCTTGTCGAGAGAAGGCGATGTCCACCAACCTAGCGATCGCCTGACTGAGAGTGGAACTTTGACTGTTAACATGGTGTGAGCTTGGCGTTTCTTTTGAAAAGGAAGCAGGAACCACTGCAAGTGGCGAGCGTGAAGGTGTGCCCATGGGACGATCTGGACGCAGGAGACCATCTTGCCTAAGAGCTTGGATAGAGTGGCCAATGGAACTGATGGAGTTCTGCGAATGAGAGCTACTAGGTCCCTGATGTCTGACCGTCGTTCCAAGGTTAGGTAGACGGTCCCCTGGGCTGCGTCTATGATGGCGCCAAGATGGGTGATCCTGGTGACTGGCACTAACTGACTTTTTTTGTAGTTGACCAAGAACCCATGGTTGTTCAGGGTTTGAATCGTGAGGTGTAGGTCGTGTAAGGCTTGCTCTTGAGAGTGAGCCTGAATCAGAATATCGTCCAGGTAAGCCTGGATCCTTACCGGTTGTTGTCTCAGGTGAGCCGCCACCACCGCCAGGACCTTTGTGAAGACCCTTGGTGCAGATGCCAGTCCGAAGGGAAGAGCCCGGTATTGAAAATGCTTTCCTGCATAGCTGAATCGGAGATACTGTCGATGCTTTGGCAGGATGGGAATGTGAAGATAAGCCTCCATGAGGTCTATGGAAACTAGAAAATCGTTGGGACGAATCCCTTGAAGAATAGAGGTTAGTGAACACATTTTGAATCTGCGATACACAATGTATGAGTTGAGATTTTTTAAGTCCAGAATGGCTCTCCACCCCCCTGACCGCTTTGGAACTACGAACAGGATGGAATAATACCCCTGTTTCCATTGATCGTGGGGGACCTCCTCTATGGCGTGAATCTGTAGTAGGTGCTGAACTGCTTGGTTCATTAATTGACGTCTGGATTCGCTTTTGGAAGTTGGACATTGAAGAAAGCGGGTTGGAGGCCTGGAGAGAAATTCCAGGGGGAGGCCGAATTTTACAACTGAAAGAACCCAAAGGTCTGAAGATGACCTTTCCCACCTGTCCGCGAAGAGGGACAGGCGACCCCCTACTGGAGGATTTGGTAGTGAGTCACTTACGACTGCGGGACTGGCGGAAACCAGAACCCCGAAAGGACCGTTTGGGCTGGAATTGTCTGCTCCTGTCCCGAAAATATTGACGGTCCGAGGATCGATAGGATCCCTGAAGATATTCCTGCCTGGAGGGGCCTCCCTGGGGGTAGGAACGAAAGGAAGGCCTTCTGTAATATGGAGAGGGTCTTCCTTCAGCCCGTTTGTATGTTGAGGGCAAAATTTTTCGCTTGTCCCGTGTCTCTACAAGAAGAGGGTCAAGTGATTCCCCAAATAGTCTGTTTGCAGAATATGGAGCTGCAGCCAAGCGCCATTTGGCCTTAAGGTCAGCAGGCCATTGGCGAAGCCAGAGCATCCTGCGGGCTGAAACTGTAGAGGCTAAGGCTCTGGATGCAAATTTGGCTGAATTCAAGGTTGCATCAGCCGAAAATTGAGTGGCAGCAATGATTTTATTAATATCCTGATGAAGGCGAACCTCACTGGGGGGTACCCTTGCCTGTAACTGTTGAAGCCAAAGGATGGTAGTCCTATTAAAAAATGAGGCTGATGAAGCTGATTGAATTGCCCATGCCGAGGCCTGATGGTTCTTTTTAAACAGAAATTCTAACTTTTTGTCTTCTGGCCTTAGACCTTCAGAAGTATCCCCAGTTACGTATGAAGAAGAAGAGGAAAGGGCCGCTACAGGACTGTCTACAGGTGGAACTTGCAAGAGTTGAGCAAACTTTGGAGCAACAGCATAATATTTCTTATCTGAACCATGTGCAGATGCCATGGTTGCAGGCCCAGCCCACTGTTTCTTTACCACGTCTATGAACAGTTGTGGAGTTGGTACATAACAAAGTTCAGGGGGGGGCTCAGAAAAAGGTCCCTGTAGTCCACCCTTTTGAGCCTCCTGCATCTCTTGAAAGTATTCATCTTCCTTTAAGGCGGCTGTTAAGCGAGCCTTATGCAATAAAGACTTGAATTTATTGGGGGGAAATAATCCTGTAAAGGCAGGTTGATCTTGGATTATCCCCTCATCATCTGATAGGTCAGAATGTCTCTCTTCCTCAAACACAAAGGCTTCACTAACTCTGGAGGCTGCAGGAGAATGAGAGCCAGTAAGACTGACTGCAGGAGAAATTCTAATACGGGCAGATCGCTCTGAAATAGCAGAGCCAGAGTGGTGACCATGAATATTGGCTGCCATTCTAGAAGCAATGGCCTGTTCAATCAGAATTCTCAATCCTTCTGGCACATTTTTTAAAGGATCTTCGGGGGTTAGCACAGGCATAGAGGATTCACCTGTTGAAGCAGCTGCAGCTGCAGGCCCACCAAATACAGGAGTTGCAGGGGTCATTAATTGACTTGCAAAGGGGTTTTGCAAATTGCTTTGGTCTTGTTGAAGAACATTACCCTCTCCCTCCGAAGACCAGGCCTGGCTAACAGTTGAAATGGGAGGAGGGGGGGTAGATGGGGGGGGGTCCCCTTATCAGGCTCAGTTGCAGGCACTTCACTAGCTTGCTTTTCTAGAGATTTATGCCTCTTTGCTAAATCCTTCTCCTCAGGCTTAGAAAGGTGCTTACGTTTGGAAGTTGATTTCTTCCCAGTGTACATAGTATTTTCCTCCCCATGGGAAGAGCGATCTGCCATCTTTAGTATACTCACTGCGACCACGATGTCGACTGGAGAAATAGCTTTTGGTTTCAGTTTCACCACGTGGTTGAAATTTGAGATGGCAATGACTCTGGCGTTAAGCACGATGGCTGCCAGGTCACACTTGAGCAGGAGGAAAACTCTGCTCTGGAGGTATCTGTCTAGGCAAGCCTAGAAACGGACCTCCTCAGCGCCCCCCCAGCCACAAAGAGAAAAAAATAAAAATACTGGCTGGAAATGCCCAGGGGGAGGCAAGAAGAAGCTTGCTGCTCCCCCCAAACTTGCAGACTCGTTGGTGGCAAAGCGGCAAAAACTTCCTTTTAAAATTGCCGCGGGGCTTCAATTAACCGCTCTACAGCTGATCAGCGGTTTTGGGATCGCTGTAGGGTGGGCGGCGGCCCGATTTGGCAATTTCCCTTAAAATTAGGTAATTGCTATTATTGTTGGTGGTATTGTGGTCTAGGGCCCCTTAAACAATCGTTGGTGGGATAGATCAAAAAAATCCCCCCCAAAAAAGACAGGAAAAAGAAAAAGGAAAAAAGTTCCCTTTTAAAATGGGGCTTTCAAAATGGCCGCCGCCAGGAGCGAAGCAAAGCCTGCAGCTTAGGAGGCTCTAGCAAAGCAAAACCGGCAGGCTACAATAGAAGGGGGGGAAAAAATTTAAAGGGGAAGTAACAATTTTAAGCTATAGAAATAAAAAGGTGGTCAAAAAGACTTACAATTCTGTGATATTGAACAGACCTGGGCTGTATAGCCAGATCTGTAGGAGATGTTTCTCTCAGGCCGACTGAGTCTAAACTGAGCATGAAAGGGGCGGAGCAAGGGGAGTGGTCAAAAGTTATGACTCAGCCAGCATCAGATCCGACTGATATAACCCTCATCTGGACAATGTCACACCCTCATCAAGGAAATCCAGTTTCTGATTCCCAATCAGCACCACTGCATCGGTTTTTGTTCATTTTCTATGTACAATAATGTTTAAACACATATTTACTTTCATATCAATCTTAAATTATTCTTCAAAGAACAATATTCAGAATTCAGTTATAGGTCTCTAGCATAAAACATGCTGAAATTAATTTGCAGAAATGATTATTTGTATGCCTACTGATAAAGACCACTGCCCCCAATAAAGCAAAGCAAATGGAATAGTAGAGTGCACTTTTTTCTTTCCCTACTCAGGCAAAAGTTGAGCTACCATGAATCTCCACTGAATATACTTGCCAAGCTCAGAATGCAAATGAGTTTTCAATAAAGGAAGGAAGCCCATAACATGTTAAAGTATTTTCATTTTATTTGTTCTGAAGATACAAGCAATAAGATTTAAGGAAATAAAAAGTCAAATCTTAATTTTCATGTAAAGATAGATAAAACTACAAGTCTTAAGAAGGTGATTTTTCATTTCAATAAGTTACAATGAAGGATTAACAAATCCTTGTTAAATGTATTCTCAACATTTGGAGTGACTTCTTTTAATTCTGGAGACAAGAATTCTTATGCAAGAAGACAGGCTGTCCAGACATGCTTATGTTCTTTCTCTCATTATCCTTTGTGTTGCAGTCTTCTATAATACATCTCATATCACTCAAAGAGCTCCCCCATCTCGTTATAGAGATGGAATCTCAAAAGCACGTCCTGGTCCCAACCCATAAACGTTTATATTAAGAGAACATGCAGGTAATCAAAATCCTGCCTGCTGTTGCAAATATTTTAAAATATTTGCTATGACAGTTCACACAAAGTACAATTTTACTTACAGTATTGTGATTAGTAAAAAACAAACAAAACATTGTGAACATATGAAGTCAGTGCCAGCATTATATTTAGCTGTAATTCTTAAGCTTTGTAAGGAATAAAGCATTACTGTGATGCTTGAAGCTGACTATTACATAATGAACATTCACATTCATGTTAACGAGATAGATCCTATAGCTAATCTTGTAATTTTTAAAATCTCAATTTCAATAAGGGATATTTCTTGAAATATCAAAATTGAGGAAATAACAGATTTTTAGTTAAAATAGAGAATAATGTGACTCTATTATTGGTAGTGACGTTACAAATTCCATATTGTTATATTTCAATTTCAATCACATTTCTCAAAATGAACCTATCTGAAACACTACTAATGCACTTCAGTAAGACTATTAATTGAAAATATTGTTTAATAATTATATAACACAAAACAGAATGGTTCCAGAGCAGTATATAATGTAGACATTGTTAACTAATTTTTCTACACATCTCATATAGGTATATTAGGGGTGAAATTCAGCAGGTTCTGACAGGTTCTGGAGAACTGGTAGCGGAAATTTTGAGTAGTTCAGAGAACCTGTAGTAGAAATTTTGAGTAGTTCGGAGAACCGGCAAATGCCACCTCTGGCTGGCCCAGAGTGGGGTGGGAATGGAAATTTTGCAATATCCTTCCCCCAGGAGTGGGGAGGGAATGGGGATTTTGCAGTATCCTTCCCCTGCCATACCCACAGAACCAGTAGTAAAAAAAATTGGATTTCACCACTGAGGTATGTACATATATATTTTCTTCTTGCCAGTCTCCAATTTCCCTCAGAATATCCCATACAAAAACTATAACATAGGACTAAGTATTTGATACTTCCAAGTAGATTTTAAAAATACCAGGGTTCTCGTCAAGGCAATGTAGCTTAGTTTTCCTTTAGTTTCTTTAAATGGTAAGCTCTTGATTTTAAGGCCGTTTCTGTGATAGTTTTTTTGCTATACCACTCAGGCAATACATTTGTTCCAATCCATTTCTAAGAAAGAGAGGCAGAAAAAGATGTGTTACTAAATTGTTAAAGTCCAAGGTATCAATGGATTAATAAATGTAAGCAAGTTACAGACACACTTGGAAATTGGAATCTCTCTTTAAATATACATACCACAAAAGCATGAGATGGATATCCACAAGTTACCGTTTCCCGACCAATCGTATTGAGGGAATATTTTACATATTGTTCAGGAGTGGGTCTATATATATTTGTTCTACGAAGTTTAGACATTTTTGTCATGACAAAATATGGTTGAACAGTCTGAAAAGGAAAGAGCATTATTTTATTAAATTTATATCTAACGGTTTGTCCCTGTATATTGTTTTAAAGTCTTATTTAATATCTACAACAGACATGTGCTATAAAACAATTTAAACATAGAAACTGTTATAGTGACAACATATTATAGTAAGAATCATATGGTTAATATAGGTCAGTGATAGCAAATCTTTTCGGCACCAAGTGCCCAAACCAGAACACACGTGCATGCATGTGCATGTGTGTGCATGTATACGTGCCAGAGCACTGCAAACCCGAAAACCAGCTGGCCGGCACTCGCATGCCTGTCTTTTGACCAGTTTGGGCCATTTTTTGGGGCTGTTTTCAGACCATTTTGGGGCCATTTTAGGCTGTTTTTCAGGCCATTTTCAAGGCATTTTTTGGGTCGTTTTCAGGGTGTTTTGCAGGCATTTTTCAGGCCAAAAACACCCTGAAAAATGGTCTGAAAAAGACCCCAAAATGGCTTGTTTTTTTGGCTTTTTTTCAGGCTGCTTTCAGGCTGTTTTCCAGCACTCCAGTGCCTGCAAAGACTACCTGGCCGGAAACCAGAAGAGCTGGCAATGGCGCACATGCCCACAGAGAGGGCTCTGTGTGCCACTTCTGGTACATGTGCAATAGGTTCGCCATCACGGATATAGGTAGTCCTCTCTTACCAAGCACTTCGTTCAGTGACCATTTGAAATTATGACAGTGCTGAAAAAATAACTTTAGGCCCAAAGGGAGCATTGGTCCTACCTGATACGATCCTTCTCGTTGAGCGGAGACAGCATTCAGGAATGGGTTGTCTCGTCTATCAGTCAATGAGACTGAGTCTGTCAAAGCTGTGAGGACACTCCCTCTGCCAACGGTCCAGCTTTTGGCGAAGATGAAGTGATAGACTCAATGTGGTCAGTCCAGCTGCTATCCCCAGGGGAACCGAGGGCCAGCCCTAAGCTAGGGAGGGGCTGGATCCTGCCTCCAGTCAACGAGAAGGATCATATCAGGTAGGACCAACGCTCCTTCTCCGTCATAGTGAAGGCAGCATCCAGGAATGGGACATACCAAAGCGGTGGTGCCCCTACAGGTGGACTGCAGCCTGGCCCGAGGCCTCCATATCAGTATGCACACTCTGTAGGACCCGCCTACCAAAAGTCGCCTCAGCCGAGGCATAGCTGTCTAGTTTATAGTGCCTGATAAAGGGCGATGGGGATGACCAAGTAGCCGCATGACAAACCTCTTCCAGAGATGCCTGCGTTGCCCACTCCACACTTGTGGCCGCGCTCCTTGTGGAGTGTGCTGTAATACTCTTGGGCAAAGGAAGGGCCTGAACCTCATAAGATCTGGCGATACACACCCAAATCCAGCGGCCCAGGGTAGAGGATGTTATCTTAGCCCCTAAGGTGGCAGGTTGGAAGGAGACAAAGAGCGACTCCGTTCTCCTAAAGGAGGAAGTTCATTTAACATAAATCTGGAGCATTCGCTTTACGTCCAGCGTGTGCCACTTCTGTTCCAGAGGGTGCACTGGATTGGGACAAAAATCAGGAAGGACTAGTTCCTTGGCCCTATAAAACCATGTGTTTATCGTTGGGAGGAAAGAAGAATCTAAATGTAAAACCACCCGGTTAGGGTGGAACACACAAAGGTCCTGTCTGATGGAAAGCGCTGCCAACTCCGAGGTCCGTCTAGCCGATGTTACGGCCACCAAGAAGGCCACCTTGTAGGACAGGAAGCGGAGCGTGGCCTCATGTAGTGGCTCAAATGGGGCCCAGATAGCCCAGGAAGCCGCCTGATGTGTCTTCTTAAGGGTCTGCTCAGATTTTCTATCCTCAGGTTTGAGAGCTTCCTCGGGCACCTTGGGGAGAACTGTTTGCACCACCAAAGCAGCTACAGGTGCATCAACTGAAGGCAGGATCAGTGCCTGCGATAACTCTGGGCCAATGTTATACAGCCTCTTATCCAGAGAACCAGGGTTAGGCCCAATCGCTGGTGCAGACCACTGGCGTTTAACAACGTCCAGGAAAAGGCGAGGAGATGGTACCACCTTGGCTTCACTAACCGGCTCGGAAAATAAAGAGCCTGTCATATCAGAAGGACCTGGGGCAGGATCCATAGAAGCAGGAGCCATAGCCATATTAGTTGACTTCCTGGCCTTAAACAGCAATGATTTGAACTTTGCAGGCTTGAAAAGTCCTGAAAATTCTGGTTGCTCAGGCAGTAATCCCTCATCCTCTGAAAAGTCTAGATCTCTGTCTGTCTCCTCCCCAGACACTGATGAATGATGAGAATGACTGGGGGAATAAGATCCCTGGGTGTTTACAAATCCTTCAGCCTCCACATTCTGTAAAGGCAAGGTATGTAGGGAGGCAGCTCTTTGTCCCTGCTGAAGACCAGCTGCTATCCCCTTTGAAATTGCAGCCGCAGTTATGTCCCCCATACTTGGAGACAGCTGTTCTGCTCTAAGGCCAGCAGCCAGCGGAGTAAAGGAAGCCTCTACCTGAGCAGGTCTCTGTCTGACAGGTTGTTGCCAGGCAGAACTTCCCTGACGAGCCTGAGAGGCCAGTTCCTTGTTGCTGGGCAGACTAGACTCCCTGTGTTCGCTAGCGCCATCTGGCGACCATTGTAATTCTGGCCGGCTGTCAAAATCCTCCAGCAGCTCTAACGGCTGCAATGCAAAAAGGCGGGAATGGTTATCCCTATCAAGGGCCTCCTGAGGGATGATCTGTCTGTCCGCCCTCCTCACGGCTTTTTTGATCTCTCGATTGAACGCCTTGTGCCTTCTTGCTGCATCAGCCTCTGAAGCCTTAGAGGACTTCTGGGAGGCTCCCCGATGTTTGGGGGTCTTTGCCTTAGTTCTCTTGTCCGAGGCTCGCTGCCCAGAGTGGCCGCCAAATCTGTCCTGTCAGGGGCCAAGAGAGCTGGATTCATGATGGGCGTGCTGGCCCCAGCACTCACGGTGGCTGCCGTGGCTTCCTCCGCCATTTAAAAATCACAGGTTGGCTTAAACAGCTCCACTGCGCTCCAAGCACGGCAAAACGGCTTCGTGCTATCAGGGGAGTTTGCACGGATAACGGGCAGGGACTCCGATGCCTCAAAGGCCCGAAGGCTGAGGCTGGGCTAAAGGGGCAGCTGCCCGGCGCTGAACTCACTGTTTGTCTCTTGCCTCAGCCGTTTGACAGGTCCTCGGCTGACAGCCCGACACACGGAAGCGTCCGAGTGGAAATGGGCGATTTTGAGCCCAGCGCAGCCCAAGAGTCAGTGGTAGCAAGGTGGACTTCGCTCGCTGCCCTGCCAGGAATAAAACCTCTGGCCAGTTACTCAGCAATATCTGGCTAACAGCCTTTCTCACTGGAAAAGCCCACTCCACCAGCCTAGCCTGGGAGCAGGCTGTCAGTTCAAGCACAAAACACAGAAACACAAAGGAAACAAAAATCAAGAAAAAATCTAAATAAAATTCTAAATAAAAGTGAAGCAGCTATCCAGAAATGGGTGAGCTAATAAAACCACAACAGCCTTCGACCAGACTGAGTCAAAAGCTGGACCGTTGGCAGAGGGAGTGTCCTCATAGCTTTGACAGACTCAGTCTCATTGGCCGATAGAGACAACCCATTCTTGGATGCTGCTTCCACTATGACGGAGAAGTGTGATATTCATAGTGTCATTCATGTCATTATATGAACACGATTATAAACTTCCATTGGGGAAATGGTAGATTAAAGAGCTACCCTGAAGTGGCAGCCCACATTCAGTTATGCTTTGGGCCCAGGCAGGTTTTAACAACTGCCTTGCTTAGCAATGAAAATTCTGGTCCCAACCGTGGTTTTAAGTTAAGAATTACTTCTACACATTGAAAGCATTCCAGCACCCAGCTGGAATAAGCATTGAAAAGAGTGGGGAAGTAGTTAGGAGACAAACTAAAGAGGAAGGCCTGAAACTAATTATTCTTGCAAATTTTGAGTTAGCTATCCCAACACCAGGGTAAACATTCCAAAGGGAGGGGGACATGAGGAAATGTGATTTCCCACTTAGCAACCGCTTCATTAAATAATACAGCTGCTAGTCCCAATTGTGGTTGGCTACAATAAATCATTGATTTAGGAGCAACATTAAATGATCTCCTTTGTTCATACATGACTGAGTTAAAGATCAATTTATCTGATATTAAGTGTACGTATCTTATGTATCATGGATTAATTCATTAGGAACATTGTACTGAGGTATTTTGAAATGGAAATTTAATCTTCAAACTGCATTGCTCGATTATCGTACTGGGTAGCACCAAAGGATAAAATATTAAATATTGTAATACTGTTAAAAGAGGTATCATTTTGCAGTTTTTCACTTAAAAACTGGTCCTCAGGATGTTACTTTAACAAAAGATTCCATATTAGCAAGATATTTCTAATTTTCTTCCTCCATTCAATTGTGTCTGATTCTTGGAAATTGCCTGGACAAGTCGTTGCAGCTTTCTTGGCATGGCTTTTCAAAAATGGTTTGCCCTGGCCTCCTTCCTAGGGCTGAGAGAGAGTGATGCTACAAGGTCAACCAGCTGGCTTTGTGCTTAAGGCAGGATTAGAACTCATAGTCTTCATGTTTCTAGCCTGATGCCTACCAAATACACTAAACTGGCTCTTATTCCTAAATTACCCGTTTTCCATTTAACAAGAGTTTTAAAGTTTGATTAATCTAGTTTCATTTTTTTCAGATCATCATGTTTTCCTAAGGTTAAAAAAAATCTATTTTTTTTTTTTTGCTGTTTACTAATACTTATCTGAGTAATTATTTTTTTAATAGTTTGGCACAGTGTTATGCTTGTTTTTCCTCATTTTTCCTGGAAGAATTAAAAACAAGCACAACACTGTGCCACCCATTCCCAACACCACTCCAGATATCATGATTGACAGGCCTGAAAGGTCAAGTGTGCACCTTATCATCCTGTTCTCAGAGAAGTCATCTAAAAGTGCAACCAATGCTGTCAGGACCTCAGTCAGACATGCAGTAAGCCCTCCAGAACAACCCCAAGCTCCTTCTGAAATCTAATTTGATCCATTAATTAACTTGGAGTGGACCAACCTAATAGGTGTAGCTTCCCTGCAATCAGGGTGGTATACAGTAGCTTGCATTCCAGCCCCAGTGATCCTCTTCTAGTTTTTTTAAAAAAACATCTTCTCACATGCAGTGGAAAATAAATTATTTAGAAGAGTTAAGTAATTGCTCTAAAATTTTGTCATTTTGGGGGATGTGGCATGTCTTCACAGTCTTTGCTTCCCATGCTCTTTTGATATTTTTAAATTTTCATTATACTCTTTTGAATGTTCCTGATGTTAGAAAATGCTGTAAATGAGGGGTGTCAAACTCAAGGCCCCGGGGACTGGATCCGGCCTGCTGGGTGCTTAGATCTGGCCTGCGAGGGTGCGCTGGAAACAGCGAAGGACCAGCCTCCAGTCCCTCTGCCAGCGAAAATGGAGCTCTCCCAAAGTCCGTTTTTGCTGGCAGAAGGTTGCAGGAGGCGATAGCAGCCAAAAATGGAAGTCGCGAGGGCCACAGGTGGCACTCCCAAGCTCTGTTTTCACTGGCAGAAGGTTGCAGGAGGCCATCGCAGCCGAAAATGGAGCTCAGGAGCCCGTTTTCACTGGCAGAGTGTTCAGGCACCCCCGACACAAGTGACATCGAGCTGGCCACATTCACCCTGACCACGCCCACTTCACCTCCCCCCCAAGGTCAAACCCTGATGTGGCCCTCAATGAAATTGAGTTTGACACCCCTGCTGTAAATGGAAATACCCTACTGCAGAGGCTGATGAAGGAGACGAGATTTTAACTTCATTTTCTAAAATGCAAGGTAATATGTAGGAAATGGGGGATCATGTGACCCTACAACTTTAATTTAATTTAATTTAATTTAATTTAATTTAATTTAATTTCCAATTTATATACCGCCCTTCTCCCTGAGGACTCAGGGCGGTGTACAGCCAAGATAAAAAACATAGAATACAAGTATTAAAACATTTAAAAATATATATAAATTTTGGCCCGAGAGTTAAGAATCACAGACTAATTAAAAGAATTTAAAAAATTTTTCTTAAGCCAACCCGGCTTGCTGAAAAAGATGGGTTTTCAGGGAACGACGGAAGGCATTGAGGTCATGGATTCTTCTTATCTCCGGGGGCAACTGATTCCAGAGGGTGGGAGCCCCCACAGAGAAGGCCCTCCCCCTGGGGGCCACCAGCCTACATTGTTTGGCTGATGGCACCCTGAGGAGGCCCTCCCTGTGGGAGCGCACAGGTCGATGGGAGGTCGTCGGTAGCAGCAGGCGGTCTCGGAGATAGCTAGGCCCTATGCCATGGAGCGCTTTAAAGGTGATAACCAACACCTTGAAGCGCACCCGGAAGACCACCGGGAGCCACTGCAGCTCGCGCAGGAGCAGTGTTACATGGGAGCGCCATGTTGCTCCCATCACTACCCGCGCTGCTGCATTCTGGACCAGCTGGAGCCTCCGGGTACTCTTCAAGGGGAGCCCCATGTAGAGAGCGTTGCACTAGTCAAGGCAAGAGGTGACGAGGGCGTGAGTGACTGTGCACAAGGAATCCCGATCAAGAAAGGGCCGCAACTGGCGAATCAGGCGAACCTGATAAAAGGTCCCCCTGGTAACAGCCGTCAGATGTTCCTCCAAAGACAGCTGCCTATCCAGGAGGACTCCCAGATTGCAAGCCCTTTCAGTGGGGGCCAAAGACTCGCCCCCAATAGTCAGTGATGGAGTCAACTGACTATATCGGGATGCCGGGAGCCACAGCCACTCAGTCTTGGAAGGGTTGAGCCTGAGCCTGTTCCTCCCCATCCAGATCCGCACAGCCTCCAGGCACTGGGACATCACTTCAAGGGCATCGTTGGGGTGGCCTGGGGTGGAGATGTACAGCTGGGTATCATCAGCGTACTGATGGTATCTCACCCCAAAGCCACGGATGATCTCACCCAGCGGCTTCACATAAATGTTGAACAGAAGGGGCGAGAGGACCAATCCCTGTGGCACTACACAGATGAGAGGCCTCGAGGTCGACCTCTGCTCCCTTGCCAACACAAACTGCGACCGGTCCGAGAGAAAGGAGGAGAACCACCGCAACACAGTGCCTCCCACCCCCAACTCTTCCAGCCGGTGCAGCATGATACCATGGTCGATGGTATCAAAAGCCGCTGAGAGATCTAATAGGACCAGAACAGAGGAATAACCCCTGTCCCGAGCCCTCCAGAGATCATCCACCAACGCGACCAATGCCGTTTCCGTGCTGTGCCCAGACCTGAAACCCGACTGGAACGGATCTAGATAGGATGTTTCCTCCAGGAATTGTGGAAACTGTTGCGCGACCACACTCTCAACAACCTTCGCAATGAAGCGAAGGTTGGAGACAGGACGATAGTTAGCCAATATTGCTGGATCCAGGGACGGCTTCTTGAGGAGAGGCCTCACCACCGCCTCTTTCAGGGCAGCAGGGAAGTGACCTTCACTCAACGAAGCATTAATGACGCCCTGGAGCCAGCCTCGTGTAACCTCCCGGGAAGCCAGTACCAACCAGGAGGGACACGGGTCCAGTAAACATGTGGCCGCACTAAGTCTCCCCAAAATCCTGTCCACATCATCGGGAGTCACAGCATCAAACTCCTCCCAGATAACATTCTCAAGACTGTTCCTCGTCACCCTGCCCTGATCTACCCAGTCAGAGTCCAAATCCCCCCGGATCTGAGCGATTTTGTCATACAGGTATTATCCGAAATCCTCCGCCCTGCCTTCTAAGGGATCCTCCCGCACTCCCAGATGGAGCAGGGCGCGGGTCACCCTAAACAGGGCAGCCGGACGATTCCCTGATGACGCAATAGAGGCGGAAAAGTAGTTAGACTTTGCCGTCTTTATCGCCACTAGGTAGGCCTTAATATGCGACCTTACCAGTGTTCGATCAGATTCAGCGAGACTGGCCCTCCAACCGCTCTCCAGGCGTCTTTTCCGGCGCTTCATTTCCCTCAGCTCCTCAGTAAACCAAGGAGCCGCACGGGATCGGCATCGGGTCAGAGGCCGCAAAGGCACAACTCGGTCCAAGGCCCCACCAGCCGCCCGATCCCAGGCGGCTACCAGGTCCTCGGCCGAGTCATGTGCTAGATCCTCAGGAAATGGCCCAAGCTCCGTCTGGAACCTATCAGGATCCATCAGGCGCCTGGGGCGGATCCATCTAGTTGGGTCCGCCTCCCTGCGGCGAGGGGTCCCGGTTCGAAGATCTAGGCGAAGGAGTGAGTGGTCAGTCCATGACAAGGGTTCCGTGTCTATATCCCCTATAACAAGACCACTCAACCACTGGCCAGAGACAAAAATCAAATCCAGAGTGTGACCTCCCCTGTGAGTAGGGCCATGAACTAACTGGGTCAGGTCCATGGCCGTCATGGAAGCCATGAACTCCTGAGCCACCTCAGACGTTTCACCGACGGATGGCAAGTTGAAATCACCCATGACTAAAAGCCTGGGTGTATCTACTGCCACCGTGGCTATCACGTCGAGTAGCTCAGGTAGGGCTGTTGCCACGCGGCAGGGAGCCAGGTACGTAAGCAACAAGCCCATCTGCACCCCACGGCCCCACCTCACAAGGAGGGACTCACATCCGGCTATCTGAGGCACAGTGGTCTCCCTTGGACCCAGATCCTCGTTAATAATAACCGCCACCCCTCCGCCCCTCCCCTGGGCCCTCGGCTGATGGAATGCTCTGAAGCCTGGTGGGCACATTTCAACCAGAGGGACGCCACCCTCCGGGCCCAACCAGGTCTCCGTAATACCCGCCAGGTCCGTTCCTCCCTCTTGTATAAGATCGTGAATGAGGGGGGGCCTTATTAACCACGGACCTGGCATTGCATAACATCAGCCGAAGGCCCAGATCCTGAGTGTCTAAGCCACCTAGTCTCCGAGAGGAGCCATGGGGACCTGGGGCAAGCAATTGCTCTCAGACAGCGAGTGCGAGCCCCCAACACATGATATGGTCCCCTGCTCCCGCCATATCTGCCCCTCCCATCTACCGTGCTGATGGTACAGACCTCATAGGTATCGTCCCCCATCCCTTTCCCAGTCCCTCGACCAACACCTCCCAAATCGTTACCCTGTGCCGGGCTCGGCTCTGACCCTGGTGGATTTCCCCCCCCATCCCCCAGAGTCTTCTTCCCAATTTCTCTAGAAAGATCATTACAAACCCCCCTCCCAGAACCCCTTAAAATCTTTAAAAAATTCCCTAAAAAACCCCACAAATTCTTCCTTGCTCCATGCCATCTCTCTGGACTCCAAAGTCCGTCATCGAGATAGGCCCTCGATAATGTGGAGGGCCAAACCTGCAAGAGGGGAGAATTTCGCAGAGCGAGGAGTTCCGACACCGAATACATATAATTAAGTTAATTGCCTAAAGGACATTTGCAACCCCAGATTAAGTAGTGATAGAATTCAAAAAGTATTGAAAGTGGAGAATGTTCGAATCCGAAAGGTGGCAATGATAAGGACTCCCCTTCTGCCAAATGACCAAGAAGATGCCCTTAAAATACATGGCAAAGAAAGTTCATGGAAGACTTAAACACTCTAAAATTCACATGGAAAGATGCTGAGGTACTCATCCAAGACCCAATATGCTACATAACATGTGAAGGTATAATGCTAATGCTAAAAAATAGAGTTCAAAAATGGTCACATAACTCTTGCAGTAAAAGCAAGTAAATAAAAAAACACTCCAAATTAACTAAAAGCTCTCTATCAGCCAGACGATTAGCAGAATAAAGCTTTAAAGATGGTATTTCATAAAGTCAGCACTATAATGAAAATACTTTGATTCAAGGAACTGCCTACTAATTTATTTTTGGCAATGGTACCTACAACTGTCTTTCACATAAGGAATAATTTGAGTGTATTTTAATCTCTAGCATCCCATACTATCAGGTTAATTACACATACAGTTTCAAAACAGATCAATCACACTAACCTGCACAAGGATACCTTTGTCTTTGTATTCCTGGCTGACGGCTTGAGAAAAGAAATCTGCAAAAACCTAAATACATGTAAAGAAACATAGTGGTAGGAATGCACAATATGAAACTGCAAATAAATCATATACTGTAAATTTTGCATACCTTGCCATTAATTGTAAACCATGTAGTGTGGAAAACAGCATTCCAAACTATGAATTTTGTACATTGTAAGGAAATGTGAGTAATACTTGTAACAGAATAATAGAATAACAGAGTTGGAAGGGACCATGGAGGTCTTCAAGTCCAACCCCCTGCTTAGGCAGGAAACCCTATACCATTTCAGAAAAATAGTTGTCCTATCTCTTCTTAAAAACTTCTAGTGTTGGAGCATTCACAACTTCTGGAGGCAAATTGTTACACTGATTAATTGTTCTCACTGTCAGGAAATTTCTCCTTAGTTCTAAATTGCTTCTCTCCTTGCTTAGTTTCTATCCATTGCTTGTTGTCCTGTCCTCAGGTGGTTTGGAGAATAGCTTGACTCCCTCCTTTGTGGCAACCCCTGAGATATTGAAACACTGCTATCATGTCACCCCTAGTCCTTCTTTTCATTAAACTAGACATACCTAGTTCCAGCAACCATTCTTCATATGTTTTAGCCTCCAGTCCCCTAAGCATCTTTGTTGATCTTCTGTGCAGTCATTCTAGAGTCTCAACATCTTTTTTACATCATGGTGACCAAAATTGAATGCAGTATTCCAAGTGTGGCCTTAATGTGGCATTAAATTATTAAAGTAGTAATATAAGTTGTATATCTAACTTGTATTGTATGATCAACTAAACATATTCATAATCTATAGTATATTGTTCATATACCTTAAACAGAACAGGAAGATATATTCCAGAAAAGTCATAAAACTCAAGATTGTATTCGTGCTACATTACTTTAGATTATGACGAACTGGTTTGAGTGTTCAACCGTCCAGCCACAAAGAGTTTTTTGGGTGTGGAACTCACATTTTGGCAGTAACCTTGCTTCACTTTGTATGTTTCCTTTTTTTCCTCAGTTCTTACATCAATATAGCACTCCTCAAACTCTAGGTACTTATCGATACCAATTTTGAATAAAACCACAGGTTTCTGCAAACTATTAAATATGTCTCTTAGGAACTTTTTTCAAGCTTTCTTGTCACCTCAGTGATTAACAAGGATTGGTTGGCTACCTTTTTATTATAAAGCAAGAGTCTCCAACCCCTGGTCCACTACCGGGCCTTGAGTGGTTCAGAATCAGGCTGCAGAAATGGTGGGCGAGCACTTGTATGAGCAATGGGTGAGCGCATGTATGCATGCTCCATTTGTGCATGCAGCAGGCGCGCATGCCCGCTTGCATGGAACCATCCCCTCTTCACCCCCGCCCCCCTTCCCCAGTCCAGAAAGCTGGAAATTTATTTATTTATTTATTTATTTATAATTCAAATTTCTATACCGCCCTTCTGAACAGCCAAGATAAAAAACATCTATACATAACATCACAGTTAAAATAATTTATAAATTTGGCCCGTAATTTAAAACTTGTAAATTTAAATTAAATAAATTAAATATATAAATTAAATTAAATATATAAAGTTTGTAAGTTCTGTAAAGTGTTTTTGTGTTTTTTCACATTTGTTAGTTACATTTATTTTATTATTTACTGCTACTTAAGCATTCTATACCTTTGATTTATATTTTTAAGCAATAATATCATTTAAAAAAGAAAGCATTCCCTCCTCCAATATTTTTCTTGCAATAATCCTGGGAATAGTAGTTTTGACAGACACGATATGACTGAGCCAGCGTTAGCCACTAAGCTTCCATGGCAGAGAATGTTTATATAATTAGTATACTATGCTCACATGTTCCCTCTTCCCTCCTCTAATGTGGCTGCCAGAATAGCAGGGATGTTGGTTTGAGAATAACTGCAGTTTAGGGTATTGTCTGAAGTGAATTTATTATTAACCTTTGCTATGATTACTTGAAAGAAACTAGGCTTTGGGAACCATAATTGGTTACAAATAGTAAAAACTCTGTATGTACTTAGTGTAAATCAAAATGTATACATTCATAAAAACAATTGGAAGGTTTTAAGAATTGTGCTCACGTGAAAATACTTCCTTAAAACAGTGGCATTTGAACCAACTTAAATTCAGGCTCCTTGCACAAAGCTGAAGGAGGCAAACTATATTTTTAAATAGAAGGCTGTCCCACACCAACAAAGTTATAAGTACATTTCATTTTAAAATCTGAATTAAAAAGACTAATTCCAAGATCTCTGTATTCACTTTCATGAAATAAGGAAAACATTATCCTCTTTAAAAAAGACTATTGCAAATATTGCATTTGCCAATAAGCAGTTCAGTTGAAGAATGAAAAAAAAAATACACACACTATGTTTTCCCCATATATGTACCTTGCTTGCTGAATAAAGAGTTAAAAATGGAATTTTTTCTAATGCAGACATAGAAGTGACATTAATTATGATTCCCTTGGACCTGAAAGACACACAGAATATAAATTATAAATTTGTTGAAACAAAACAGAAGCCTAAAATATGCAAATGTTAACTATAACATCCATAAGTATTTGCATAAAAAATCCTTGCACTTGACTCCTAGTGATTGCCTAGAATAGCCATGTAGTTTTCAGGGCAACAATATAGATATGGTCTGCTGCTACCTTCTTCCTGGCTGCTCTTTTTTTAAAATTTTTTTAAAAAAAAACAATAAATTCCCAGTATAGGATACAAACCTAAGATTTCTTGGTGGTTTCTCATATACATACAATACTCCTCACTTACTGACTGCCTTGTTTAATGACTGTTAAAAGTTATAACAGTTCAGAAAAAAATCCCTATGATTGTGGCCAATCCTTGCATTTATGACTGTCGCAGTATCCTGTTGATAATGAAGGTTATCATTCAGGCACTTCACAACTAGCAAGCATTCAATGTATGATCATCACAGTGTCACATGGGTCACATAATTGTCATCTGAATTCTTCTCAACCAGCTTGCAACAAGCAGAATGGAGAATGCCTTTCACCAAAATCTGAGCCACTGGAAGTTTCTGACAATGATTCTTGTACAGGTGAATGGATTTTATGCAAAAATCCATTTGCAAAACATTATGCAAAACTATTGATGTGTTAAATAGTAAATATGAAAAGCTAGATGGGAAGCTTAACCCTGAGAATGTGACAAAGTTCAACTCAGAAGCATTCAAAAACTATGAAACTGATATGGGGAAGATATTCTTTTTACTTATCAAATCCAGGAGATTGCACCAAAAAATAAGACTTCAGCACCAAGTTTAATTTCAGCAAGAGCTTATGTGAAACCAAGGAAGATCTTGCTCAATCAATAATTCTTTAAACAGTCAAGAAGGAAAAATGTTTTTAATGGCCAAAATCTCTAAGTTTTTTGGCTTTCTCCAACCATGAAGAGACCTGAACAAATGAGTCTGGATAGAAAAATGGACTACTTAGGCAAGGAGGAAAGAATCTGCAGGCAGCAGAATACACTTTAATGCAGAACCAAATACCCTGGTTCAAAAAGAAGTATATCAAGCTGGATGAAGATGAGAGATACTTGTGATAAAATGGTTTTATCTATCCATATAATTGGAAGGAACTAAGCAAGCAAGAGTCGGGAATGACTAGCACATATGTGCGAGGGGGACCCTTTACCTTTAGGCAAGCAATAATTTTTAATTTTACAGAAAAATTATCTACCTCATGTAACAACGGCATAACTGGAAAAATGCCAAAAGTACAATCTACACTAATACTGAAAGGTTGCCACCGCTTAACCCCTTATTATTCCAGAGTCTTGTGCTTTTGTGCATGAATTTTCTGTACCTGCCATATAAGTAAAGCTTGTTCTCTCTATTCTCTCTGTTTTCCTTCCAGTGATACTCAGGAATGGCTTTAAGGTTATTCCCAGGAACATCCCAGAAACATAGCCACCCACACAGAGAGTAGCTTGTTGTTGAGTTCTCACTGATGAGTCATTCAGGTTTTTAAATTCCATTTTAAAAAGAAATCACCAAACAGTGAAAATAAAATAAAAAAGGGAATCAAGTAAAGATAGGCTTTCACGGTCTGATGATTCATGCACCCAATCCCATGACTCACACAGCATTACACTGCCAATAAAACATGGAGGCCTGACTGATTAGTCACAGTAATGAATTTTTCAAAGAAAGGATTTTCCCCTATAAATAATAATGGCTGACTGGATGTGTTTATGTGACTCACCTTTCCACCATGCGAGGAAGCACCAATTGTGTCATCTGAAAAAAATATATTTAAAAAAACGATTGAGTAATATGCAGAAAACAGACTGAGGAAAGCCCTCTCACAAAACAGCTGACCTCTCTTCACCTCAAAGAATTATAGAAGAATTTGAAGGCCGTCATTTGTAAGGCAGTGTATTTTTATTCTACTTATGCAGTTTGGTTCTTTAATAAAACATGTTGAGCAACCCAGATAAGCTGCACTTATAAACAACTTAATCAGTCTGTCTGATTTTGTATTATCATAGTATGGTTTCAGAACTTCTGTATGTTACACAGGTAAATTTCTCAAATATCTAGTGCTGATGCTAGACAGTGCAAGAAATCAAATTTAATTAATATTACAGCAAGGGAAGCAAAAGTGGTTGAACAATGCAATTATATGAGAGGTATCAGCAATGACAGTCTAGATCACTTATAGGAGGGGTGTCCAAGTCGCGTCATCACGTCGTCACGTGATATATTGCGACTTTCCCTTTCACTAAAACGGGGGTGGGCGGGGCCAGCATGTGATGCATCTGGCCCGTGGGCCGCGAGTTTGACACCTCTGGCTTACCAGAATTATGAAACAAAAGTCAACTGATCATGGATTACAATTCTATACGTCTCAGCCAGCATGATTAAGTGGGAGATTGTATGAGGCACTTCTCATAATCCATTTCATTTTAAGAGGAAAAGAAGGTACAGCATAAATAGGCAAAAAAGATGAACATTTTCCAGGCTGTTGATCACACAAAGAAATCAAAAGTTTTTGCTTTGTGATTTTTAAAGATAAAAATTTCCATTGTTTTGTAATCACTGAGTAAGTTGGGCGGCCATATAAATGTTCCTAAATAAGTAAGTAAGTAATCTAGAAAAGAAAGCCACTGAAAGCTACAATTATTTTATTTTGCCACAGATCACCTAATGCTGCCTTTTATCTTATGCAACAATTTGTGTTAGCCAGCTTTTAATATTAAAAAATGATTCTGAAAGTAAGAAAAAATAGTTTTCTTATTTTTGAAATAAATTGTTATATCAGAAAAAATGGTTCTCCAGCCAAAACCATGAGAAACTTAATTTATATTTTAATATATCAACTGTACTATAGCAGTTACCATTAAAAAAGAATGCATTTTATCAAAAAATATACTGTTTTTTACAGTATAACCACCATTATGATCCAATCTACAATTTTCATTTTGAATCTAATTCAAATTGCAAGTTTTATGGCCACAACATCTGCCCTAACATTGGGCTTCTTTTGCCACCTGTTCCCCTAATACACAGTCTGACAAAGAATTGTGGAAAAGATAATGATGCAAAATTTTCTGTGACATTTCATTATTAACCATTTTTAAAAATCATATTGGCTGTTTATGATAAATTGCCATGCAATTACTTGAATTAGATAAATTAAAAGATCATACTAGTTTCAGATGATTATATTTCAGATACAAAATGTAATGCAGTATATTAGGGACCAATTTAGTAAGAGAACTCGGCATTCTAAAGAACTGAAACAAATTCAAAACAAATGCTGGAATTTATATGCTGGTTCTGTAAAACTGCTTAGAGAGTGCTGTGAAGCACAGTGAAGCAGTATATGGTCGAAGTGACTACAGTAATGGCCAAAATTGTGGAAACCTTTTTGGGAAAAGTGTATTTTTGAGATCTGATGGCTAATAACACCACTTTTTTTGGAGTAGTACCATAAAATTATATATCAATGGAAAGATAATTTAATCAAAAATGTAATGCAACAAAGTTTGTTCAATTATCTGTATGAAAAGTTATAGCCAAATAACCAGAAAAAAGAAGCACAACTTGCTTAGGTTGATATCAGGTAGCTTTCTTTCATCTGATTGTAGCCAATGAGCATATGTTTAGAGAGCCAATCAAGGGTCATCTTGTTTTGGCAATGAGCCAATCAGATCGCAGTAGTATTCAGTTATTGATGTCATGTATTGAAGCTGAGAGGAGGACATCTGTCAGTGTGTTATGTGATCGCTATCAAATTGGTTGGGGTTTTTTGTGTTCTTTCATTAAGTGAGCTTGTAAAATGTAATAAAATTAAAGTAATTTAATAAAGTAATGGTGCAAAACGTTGACTGGTCACCCAGAAGGCAATGTAAAATAGTATTATTAAGTGAACAAGGCTACAGTTATGAAGAAATTAGAAGAAAAATATAGTTTCCCCAAAAGGTTTCCACAATTTTGGTCACTACTGTAAATGCTATTTCTATGATCCAATTTAGCTATTGGCAACTGACTCATATTTATGACAGCTGTAGTGTCCCGGCATCATTTTTTGAAGCCTTCTGACAAGCAAATCAATGGGAAAGACAGATTCACTTAACAACCGTGTTACTTACCTAACAGCTGCTGTGATTCACTTAACTGTAGCAGGAAAGGTCATAAAATAGGGCAAGACTTACTTAACAACTATCTCATTTAGCAACAGAAATTTTGGGCTCAACTGTAGTCATAAATCGAGGACTACCTATATTTCTGATGTAGCATATTGATACTTTCTACATACCTCTTTTCTAGAATAATTTTCTAGAATTTGTCTAAAAAAAATACCAAAATGGCTTGACAGGCGCAGGTATGAACAACTTCAAGTACCTTTTACCTTCTCTTCTCCAGGAAAATGTTATACTATTAACATAAATAGAAACTTCTAGAGGCTGCTAGAGCCTCTATTTATGTTAATAGTCTAGACAAGAGTCTAGACAAATGCTTTATGCTAGAGTCTAGACAAAAATGGACTTATGAAGAAACTCAACAGAGAAGCCTCTATAATTGCACCTGCTTTACAGAGATGAAATTGCACACGAATTGTTTTAAACAAATACTTTTATTACTTTATATGAAAATAGTCAATTCTCCTGCATTAGCACAACTTCCCAAAAATGGCACTTACCTTGCATATAGCTAGGGCATTGACATTTATCATCCTGTCAATTTGCTGTAATGGAGAAAAAACATAACATCATATTATGAACTCTTGATTTAAAAGTCTGCAGTAACGAAGATGACTAGAGTATATACTATGTAGAAATTATCTGATCAAAATTTGGAGCCCAATTGGGATGTTGTAATTTATTGATTTGATTTGATTTGATTTCTGGATCCAGAATTCAAAGTTATAGTACTGAAGAATCAGAAATGTAATACACTTTTCTTGGCAGAGTTTATACAACCATGCTACATCAATGTATTGTCTCAAACTTCTTTTTATATATTTAATTTTAAATATGCCTTAAAATGATCATTTTAGGTCAAATTGTCCTGAAAATTTTATGAATATAATCTCTACAATGATAACTACTGTCAGAGGGTTTTTGATATCCCTTCTTGAATGCAGAGGATATGATTATTGAGACTGATATGGAAATATAAGGCATTAATTCACTTCTTTAACTTTGCTAAGTGTAGTGTTTTGAAAACTACAGATTATGGCTTTAGAATTTCTGAATTAAACTAATGTTCAGACCAGATGACAGACTGAAGTGAAAAAATAAAATTTTTATCACACCCACTTAGGATGAGTTATTATGAAAAAATGGAGCATAGCCATGTGGAGCAAATGGTAAAATTAAGACTTTCCCACTTCATGATCTTTTCACCCTGCAAGATACTGTGACTGGATTGAATCTTAATTGCAGATTGTTGTGTTTTGATATCAAACATATGTGTATAAATTACAAACATATACATGACATGTATATAAATTATTGACGCTTCTCTTCCTTTTCTACAGCATCATAAAGTACCAGAAAAAGAGATATAAGACTGGAATTCACTGATACCGAGCATTAGAATGCACTGGGTTCAGGCTTACCCACTCAACATTGGGAATGAAAATGTGGTTCAAATGATACCCTTTCCCCGTGGCATTTCCCCAAATTACACTCACATGTCAGATGTGCCATTTTGAACTGAAAATCTGGTAATACTTGTTTTAAATGTTTTTATTTTATCACAAATAGAATATTGTTTTATTTCTGGGTTGTAAACTGTCTGGAGTTTCAGTCAAGATTTAAAACATAAAATGTTTTAAAGGAATACATTCACTCATTAGTTGAGTCAAGAATGAGTCTTGATGGGAAAGAAGTTGCAAATACAAGTTCTGACTGTACTGAGGGACAGAATCTTCTTAAATCAAAACTCCAGAGGTGGTGGCTGAGGAAGCAATAGAGCAAAAGAAGACATAAACGGTAGGTAAGGAAAGCCTGAAAGAAAAGCAGTATCACAATTTGAAACAGCAAATATCTCTATACTTTTTGGGGTCCAAATTATGTACTTCTGCCATCAAGGAGCAAGTACAACTATCTATTGTTTCTTCCATCTTCCTTTTTAGTGAAGCTTAAAGAACTCCTTCATAATAATCTACTTTCTCATCTTGAATCTTTGTGTGAAGTGTGACATAAATCAATTGAACATGTTGGCAATAAATCAGTATTTTCTTTAGGTGTTGTTTTGGGAGCTGGGGTGGAATTTTTATCATCATAGATTTCCACATAGCTGTGGTGGCACAGTACTCAGGCTAACTCACTGCTCACTCCAGGAGCTCGATTCTGAGTTGCTCAAGATTGACTCAGCCTTCCATCTTTCCGAGGTTGGTAACCAGATTGCACCCAGATTGTTGGAGGCAATATGCTTTAATTCTGTAAACTGCTTAGAGAGGGCTGTAAAGCACTGTGAAGCGGTATATAAGTATAGCTGCTATTGCTATATAGTTAATATAAAGAATATTGTAATAAAAGACCTCATTTTAATATGTTTTATGTGATATTGCTTAACCTTGTTTATAATAATCTTGTATGTATTTTACCAGGTTAAAGTGCAGCTCAGAAAATCAGGATATGTTAAACACAAAGCAATTCTTGCTTTTTATGGCCAGTATAGTAGCCTGAATTATTTTTCTTGCATGTGAAACAAAACCTTAATAAAGACTTCTACAAAACTGAGAGACAAAGATGTAAATACAACATTAATTCAAACAAGACTAATGCACTTAATATTGGGGATTTTAATGAAGGTATTGAAGGTATTGAAGGTATGAAGGTGTGAAGTATCCTGACTCCTTGGATTAGGATTAGTCATTATACATTTTAATTTGAAGTTAATGAACAATTCATAGGACTGTTTCTAAATCTGGGGAGGGGAGGTGCTAATAAGTTCTTATATATACCGTATTTTTTGGAGTATAAGACGCACCTTTTAACCCCCCCAAAAGGGGGTGAAAATTTAGGTGCATTTTATACACCAAATGTAGCCCTGCCCATCCACTGGCCCCCACCCTTTGGCCTGTGCCTCGCAGCAGTTACCTTCTTGCAAGCAAACAGCAAGAAAAAAAAGTCCCTTCCAGCTTCAGCATAGGTTAATTAGCACAAGTTGATTAGATCGGCCTCCCTACTCTCAGCTGATTTGCTCTCAGCTGTTTTGCACAGGGCTCTCCTGCTTGCTGCAAAGAGTGCTGGAGCAGATTTTTTTTCCCCTAGCTATGCTGAAAAAACGAAACTGAAAGTAAAGCAGGCTCTTTCCTGCAACGTGACAAAATGAGGCAGAGAGAGAGATTTCTTTTTCTTTTTCCTCACCAAAAAAGGTAGGTGCAAACAATGGGAAATTTAGGGCAAAAGAGAAGAGTTCAAGATTTTAAAACGCAAAAGAAAAAAAGCTCTAACTAAGGAATTGAAAGCAGAAATGGTTAAGTTGTGGTTTGGAGGAATATATGGGGAAAATTATTTGGTTTATTATTATTGATAAATATAATTAATTGATTTGTAAGAAATTGGATTGCATGGAAATAATTGGAATATTCATGTTCATATTGATATACAAAAAAGATAGTTATAACTAATTGATTTATATAAAAATGTTGAATTTGTATTAAACAATTGTAATATTAAATAATTAACCAATGTGAGGATGGATATAAAAATAGATGACAATGGGAAGGGGTATAATATAGAATAGAAGGGAAAAATTGAGTTTGATTAAGATTAGAGATAAGAATGAAGGGTAATATTGTTTTTTTTTTAAAAATAAATGAGGAATAAATATGGCAAAAAGGAAATATAGAAACTGTAAATTTAATTGAAATGACTAAACACTGTTTAAATTTGTGAACCAGCCAAATACTCTGTTCAAAGAAAATACATTGTATGTTTGTTTGCCTAAAAAATAAAAAAAAATTTTTAAAAAAAACAATCAAAAAAGGTAGGTGCGTCTTATACTCCGGTGTGTCTTATATTCTGAAAAATACGGTACTTTTGCAATTATGATCCTATTAACAAATGAAATGAAACCAGTGTCACACTTACAAATATTTAAATTTAATATTAAATATTACATGAAAAAGGCAGGTATGGGAGGAAATGAATACTTACTTTATCTAAATCTGGAATCTCGAGGAAATATTCTGGATAATCATATGAAACGCCCACGTTGTTCACTGAAACATACATAATTTTTAAATATACACCTTGAATGTATGATGTTCTAAAATTAAGTTTTGATAGCACTGTGTTTATCAAATAGTTAAGTGGGATGTCAATCCTATAGACCTGAGATTATGCATGCATTGAAGTTCCTTAACATGTTATTAATCAAGGCACAGAACAAGAATGAACACAAAAACACTGTCAATAGTGTCACTTCTATTAAAGTCATAAAGCATCAGAAAAGCTACTTTGGTTGGATCCAGATGCATAATTTTATGAGTTGCCTGAAAAATACAAATTCAGCTGTATAGTGCCATGTAATTATATTGAATGTTCAACTACATATAAACTAACATGTTTGCTAGAATATTATTTTCATTGTTTAAAGTTTAATCTCTTGGACTGCTGCATGTCACTTAAACTACAATAAGTAGTTTGCATTGACATATAAAGTTCTTCATCGTAAGAACTGTTGTATTTTACATTGTTTAGCGAGTAACATTTTCTTAGCTATATGTACCAATCATAAACACTTATATAAGTTAGAATTTGCATTCTTTTAAAATCATGCTTTTCATTGACTTGGTCCAAACTTAATTTAATCCAGTGAATCTGCATAACGGAACAGAAAACTTGCATAACTTTACATAAACCTACATGAAGCTTAATAATATTCAGTAACTAAGACATGCAGAAATTCAAAATAACCAAAAGGAGAAAAATACTTTTGCACAGAACTGAACATGCCTTTTCAAAATTGGCTCCAAAAATAAATGAGTAAAGTTTATTAACTATCATATCAGCCTTCTTTCTTTCATTCAGGTGCAAATGTTAACTACCGTACTTACTTTCTACTTCAAATAACATTCTTTAATTGTATCTAGAGGTGTAGTAAGTACTAGCACCTGGCTAGTAACTAGGAGACTATGAGTCTAGTCCTGCCTTAGTCCTGAAGCCAGCTGGGTAACTTTGGGCACTCATTCTCTCTCACTTCTAAGAAGAAAGCAATGGCAATATTCTTCAGAAAATCCTGCCAAAAAAGCTACATGAATTTCTCCAGGTGGTCATGAAGAGTCAAGGTTTTCTTGAATTTCTCTCTCTAATCAGTTGAATTATTTCACAAAAGATACTGTAAAACTATTGTATGGTTATTTGCTCTAATATGCCAAATTGCTATCATGAGCTGCACATCAATATCATTTATAGCCCTATTAAGAGTATTTCTTCATGATGTCTAAGAATAAATGATACTCTTCAACTGAGACTGAATTAGACTATAGAACATTAGATGGCAGTATAAACCCACACGATGTACATATTTGAAATCTCTCAATAAAGAATATTTGAGTGGAGTGAGGAAAACAAAAAAGACAGAAATATAAGAATAATGCAAAATAGTACCCTTAAGAACAGTTTTATTACATTAAACATTTTCTTTCGGCCACAATTTCTTGTTTTTAAAATGTTTTCTTTTTTGTTTCCATATTTCTAAAAGGTCCATTTTTTTACAGATTAATAAAATGTAAGTGTTTTGAATATTTTTTCACACACTTCAATTTCCCCCCACACACAATTCAAATCTGTGATGTTCTAGTCATCACCAATCAATTAAACATAATTTCAATCTAGGTTTTTCATGGTATTTTTGGTTATTGGAATTACCACTCACTTTAAATGAGTCCTTTTCAAAAAAAAAAAAAGAAAGAAAAAAAGAAAACCCCTGGTATCACTATGTGGGTGGTAAACGGTTATGTTTTCTTGGGCTCAAGAACAGAAATAGATAGTATGCTGAAGCAGTAAAGAGATTACTCCTCTAGAAGGCGGCAATGACAAAATTCAACAATATCATGAAGAATGAGGGTATTGAAATGACAAAAATAGTTTGTGGTAGCAATATATGGATGAGAAAACTAGTCACTGATAAAAAGAAAGACAGAGGCCCATAAATTATGGACTTAGAGACGATTGCTAAAAGTAACATGAACCTCAAGAAGAAGAAATCAACCAGTCGTAGATTAAATAAAGGCCGCATCCTTGAGCAGATGGCCAGCAAGCAAAAGTGTACATCCTTTGGACATGTGATGTAAGTAGATGGTAAATTGGAAAAATGATTGTTTCTCAACATTGAAAAGGAATGAAAAAATGTACTATTTTTTTCACTGCATGGAACTTGTTGGCTAAATAATAATGTGATGTTTTATGGATTTGTTATAGATAAGAGATGGGGTACGGGATGAAGAGAGAATGTTTGTACCTTTAGAGAGGATGAAGAGTTACTAAATGTGTTTATTGTTTTGTGATGAAGCTTGCAACTCACTTCTTTATACATTTGTTTCCTTTTTTTTAATTATATTCTTACATTTTCTTTTCCCTTGCACTTTTTAACTCTATTCTCTTTCCTTTAAGTTTACTTTGTATTATTTTTCATGATTATAATCAAAATTCTTAATAAAAATAATAAATAAAAATCCCAGTGTTTCTGGTTAAAAGATAGGGTTCTAAAGATAGAAAATTGGTTGCATTTGAGGGAACTTTTTTGGGGGGGGGGGGCCTTCGATGGAACCACATCGAATTCTCATTTGCCCTCTCCGTGAAGTGCGGGACTGGCAGGGACCTCGGCCGATGAACAAGCCGGCAGGGTGGCTTACCAGCAGACTGGTAGCCTCCCAGATTACTTTGCTGAAATCTCTGAGTTCTGTGTCTTACAGTTGGAATAAATCCAGGAAGGAAATGGTGGTCAGAGCCTAATTCTTCATGTCTCTCTTCGGCCGAAGACCGAGTTGAACTGGAGAGGAAGCAGGGAAAGGAGGCATGGCCAAAAAAGATGACTCGGTCTCCAGGCAGAGAAGCAGAGTTACCACACATTCCTGGATTATCTTCCCCGACACAATGGAGAAGCCTAGGGTTCCATGGAACGTAGTTTGAAAAATTCTGAGGTAAAACTGGAATACAACAAGATGAATGGGACAGATATTATTTAAATGTCCTCATAAGAGCTATTATTAATGACTGGAAAAAATTGGAGTCTCCCAGGCATTTGGCATGTCCCACAGGTCACCTGCTCTGCACACCATTGTGGAGGCTTCATGGGTGTGGTCCCTTTTTGCTGTACTACTGGGCCAAGTTGGGGTGCTTATGGCTTCTTTCCCTGGCCTCACTGCACTCACATCACACTACAGTCCCCCCGTCCCCCATAATTTTTACAGAGTCTGTACCAGGCCTCCTAGGAATTCCCTCAACCGCCAAAGCCCTCAGCTCCACTTGATTGCATCTGGGAGAGACAAGATGCCATCATAAAATTATGTCACATGGTGACCCACTTAACAACCACAATAGCATACAACCAAAATTCCGGGTTCAATTGTGATTGTAAGTCAAGAACTACCTGTAAAGTAAGAAAACTACAGGGTAATTGACATTACATTAAACTTTGGCCATGTCATGCAGGGGAATTTCCTGGAGAAAGCAATGATGCTTGGAAGAGTTAGCGATAAAGGGAAACCAGACCACCAAAGAACACGGTGGTTGGACGCCATCAAAGCTAACACCAGCCAGAACATAGAACAAGTCAAGGAAGTAGTGCTAGATCAGAAAATATGGAGAGACCTGGTGCAGAGAATCGCCAAGAGTCGGACACAACTGAATGGATAACATCATCATCATTATCTCTGGAAGGAGTGCTCTATTTTTTTTGTGTTCAAGATATCAAGCTTTGTTCCACAGAGAACAAATACAATTAAAAAGTGCATTTTTATCAGCCCATTGCAAGGTTATAGTTTCCTCCCACCCTCCCCAAAAAGCCCCAAAGAAACTGAATTTAAGATACAAACCTAAGATACCAATTTCAAGGCCTTCCAAGCCTGCTTTTATTTTGTTGTAAATAATTTCTCGGTTTTCAAAGTCAACAGCAATTTTTTTTGTTTCCACCTTGAATTTGTCCTCTGAAATAAAGAACATATACATAACAGGTAAACATGGAGCATTGTGTCTCATTACTATTATACAATAAGGTGAAACTGTAAAACAGCCAAGGTTTTGAAATATATCATTGCAATGAACCTTTTATCAGATTGTTTGCTCATTTTAATTTAAAGGCTTTCAAGAATTTTAAGTTTCTTATTTTGCAATAAAGAAAAGATTTTTCAAAAAAATTAGTTATTATTCTAAAGTACACCAAGCCTCTTCTCTTGAAAGTCTAACAAGTTACTTATTTAATAGTCATTTACAATTATTCTTGTCTAGGCATTCATCGCTGACTAGTTTTAAGGAACCTATCTTAAATACTGGATCAGATATTTTCCAGGATAAGTAACTATGAATCAACAAAAGTATTTCATACTTTTATTTCTTACTTAATAGCAATAAAGCACTAACGACAACCTGGGAGCAAAATAATCATCTGACAGCTAAAAGTTGCTTCCTGATACTTTTTACCCGAAAGCCACAGCAATAACACTACACACCATACAAAATAGCAATAGCAATATTATTATGGACTAGCCATTAGGCAATATCAAATATAGAATATAAAACACGTAAGATTAATAAGATCATAGATAACAGAATAAAAGAAACAAATTAAATTAAAAAAAGAATAAGAATAAAGAATGCAAAAAGACGATCCACCTTGAAAAGATGCGACAGCGCATGCAATCAAATTAAGCCCCACCTACAAAATTAGCCCTAATTAAGATCCCGCCCACCCCGAGGTGCAGGGGGTGGGGCGAGGCACACAGGGAAAGAATAAGCTAGGCTGGGGATGGAGGGTGGAGCTTCCCTACTTTCTAGGCCTCGCACATCCCAACACCTGCCTCGCCTTCTTCTGCAGCCGCTTGCTACCACTCACACGCATCACCCTGGCCTCCATTTTGCCTTCAGATGCCTGCCAGCATCTGTTATCTGCAGCCCATAACAGAGCTCCAGATCGGTCCAGAGCTCTATTATCGGCTGCAGAGGGCTTTCCGGAAGGCATCTGCAGGCAAAATGGAGGCCGGGGCGATGCGTGCGAATGACGTCAAGCAGGCCAGCAGCAGGTTCCTGCTGGACAGGGCTGTCGGTGCCACTGCCATGAGGTGAGTCAATAATTAGAACCCTCCAAAAAGAAGGCCTAGCCATTTTTTCGGGGGTCAAAAGAAAATTAGACCCGGCCTTCTTTTTGGAGAAACACCCCTACAACTTATCCCAAATTAGATATGTAGATCTCAACTGAACTAATTTGTTCAAATAAAGGGCCATGTGATATGTAATTTTTGAATTCTGACCACATATGAAATATATTCTGTTTAATGTAAGGATCCAATAGGGATGTGTCCAGTTGCACAAATCTTGCTTGAATAAATACCATCCAAAGATGTTTGTGCATTTCTGGGTTTAAATAACTTGGCAATTTGGAAGGTAATATTTGTAGTGTCTCATCCATTTCAATGTGCCAATCTTATTGAAGATGGCTATATGTTTATGTGTGTCTATAGCCAAGATTCTTTGTGCAATAATATTTTTAGCTAGTTTTCCAATTATACAAGAGCTAGGGAGGCCATAGCTCCTAACATAATTTGTCAGTTGGACAATCCAAGAGATTTTGAACTGAAATTTTGCCTGTTCTAACAGACACAATTTTGGAAGTCTATCAGTTTCTATAGTATTATTTTTGCACCAATAATTTTATGCCCTGATTAGACAAAGAACAAATCGTATAAATTCCCCCATTTACCTCTGACTGCAGCAACTAAAGTCTTTTTATCCACACCAAAATACTTCTTAGATGTTGTGCTTATTCTAGTAGTCATCTATATTTTAAGTCCCAAACGTTTGCTCCATATAAAACAGGGGTCCCCAACCTTTTGGACCTCAGGGACCACTGAATTCATAATTTTAAATCCCGCAGACCACTAATATGATCTGTCTAATGACTGGCTGGGTGGACATGGCTAGGTCGTCATGTGACTGGGTGGGCATGACCAACTCGATGTTACTCATGTTGAGGGGCGCCTTACAGGCCTCTACTCACCCCTCCCCTCCCAGCCACTCCTCACCTGCCCACCAGGGCTCCTTAGGGTCCCAACAGGAAGCAGTTGCTGGAACTAAGCAGCCACCATGAGAAAGAGTTGGCAAAAAAAACCTGGCTCAGGTCAAATTGGATCTGACTGAGAAGGAGGCTCAGCAGAAGCACCTCACTGAGGACTATGAGCATAGGCTTCCCAAGCAGAGGGAAGACCTGCAGGAGTGCAAGGTACAGGCACCTGGAGGCTCAGCAGGCTGAGATGGTCAGCCAGTTCCAGGCCATGAGGCAGTCCCACTGAAACAAGGCCCTCCAGCTCCTTGCCACCAGCGGCTCTTCCCTCCAGCCTTCATCCAAAGCCCCACATCAGGAGACTGAAGCAGACCCCAAGTCGGAATTTCTGCCTCCCCTCGAACCCGCACAAAAAGACCCAAAGGGGGAGACTTTCTGCAGCAACACAAGTTGCACATATCCGACCCAGGGGCCATAGTTTGAGGACCCCTGATTTAGTGCAATATAAAAAATGCAAATAATTTTTCTGTGGGACAGATCATCCCAGAGAAAATTCATCTATGGGGCTGCTAAGAGTCAATTTCATGGTTCATCATCATCATCACTATTGTATAGGTTGATCAAATATTTCATATTCTAGTTGAATTTAGATATTAAGATTTTTTTGTGCTCTATTTTGTTTGTTCCTGCTATTCTAGTAAGTTAACAAGCTCTTTTGTGGGCAAAGCATACCTTATCAAGGGATTTATGTTTTAGCTATCTCCTAATCAAAGCACTGCAACCTTCAGCAAGAAGATTCAATGAATCTCCTTACTAGACATTCAGCAGCATTGCACTGGGTTCTACAATGTGTGATATTCTATTAATATGCTACTGATAACATATGGATTAATAAAGAGTATAATTATTTATGGCAGTTCATCTTTGTCAATATCCCTTAAAATCTTGGATTATTTTCACTAGCAATAAAAAAACCACGAGCTTTTATAATAAAGAGATGTGATCTAGAAACAGTGCTCATTGATAAGATGTCTCTGCTAAAACTCTGACCACAGGATTTCAAAGCAGAGCAGATGTAGCTAAAAATAGCAGCACTCCACCTCACTCTAGAGATGTTCAACCTGTTGTATTTTTTCCCCCTGATGTGATCACAAGATTGCTGCTGCAGTAGGAACTATTTACGTCATTATTTTGCATAGCAGCATGTCCCTGGGGACTGGAAAATAATGCACTTGTTTCCAAAAGATGAAACACAAAGTGAACATTTGTATCTTGCTGTAAGGACTATTTATTTAGGGGGTAAGGATAGAGGAAAAAGTAACTGAAAACAATTGATAATTTCCCATGATTAGATAAACAACGGACAAGCAAAATAAGTGTGCACCATGTAGTTTGATCCCAAGGTACAAGGTGACCAATTGGGAAAATGTGGAAATCTGCAAACATTTGCAATGACAGAAGGGAAAGGCAAGACTAAGCTCTGCCCTCCTCAAATACAGTATTTACCAATCTAACAAGAGCAGAATCAAGATATATAGATCTGCATGCCACTTCACATTTTTCTTTTAAATAAATGAATACAGAAGATGGTTTTAATTACAGAGATACAATTTGGTGTCTAACTATGATTCAGTGTGCTAAGGGCTATCAGCAGAATGCACTTATGTGCTATTTATGGAACGTAAATGAGGACTAAATATTTCATGTATTACTTATATTAATACTAATTTGTTTCTAGCCTTTCTGCTCAATTTCTCCTATAAAGTGGATTACAACAAATAAAGAACAAACTTAAAACAAAACAAAAAATTAAAGACATGTTAAACCTAGTGCAGACATGTTTTTAAAATTTAAAATCTAATCTAGGAAACCAAGGGAGTCTGTACTTTTATCAAGAAATCAACAAGCTGTATTAAGATGTTTAACAATATTGTTCCCCTAGTTTAGAAGCTCTATGGGCCTTGTCCTATGAGTAGCACCCTATATCATTGCCTGTGTCACCTTCCATTTTAACGCAGATGGCAAAGTGCATGTGGGGACGGCAGAAGCAAAGATGGCAAGACACAATAAATGCAGACATGAACATTGCCCAGTTGGACCCAGATGTTGTTTTTTGATTGTGCAAAATGGCGTTTGTCAATTTGAAAAACAGACCCTGCACCTGCAGGGATACTACTAGGAAGATTATGATTCCTTAGTTTAGTAGTCCTATAGCAAGACACCAAACATCTCACCAATTTATTGTAATCAGGGATGTGCAAGGTTTTTATCTAAAAGGCATGCTATAATATTGTGCAAATACAATTAAAACTTTCCAATTCATGTAACTAACATTTTTAGCTCACTCTTCAGACAAAAATCATCTACATTGGTTGATGGGTGATGATTTATGAATGTATTTGACTAACATGGCCACCAATCTTAAAAAAAAACACCTCTATGTGACTTGTAAAAACAAGAAAAGCCAAAAGACAACAGAACCAAAACCTTTTCTAATATATTCAGCAAAACCATTGCTGAGCTTGAGTCATACCCTAAAAATTGCAGTTGTGGGAAGAGCCAGTTCTTATGGTCTTCTGGAAAGCTACAAAGGCAGGGGCCAGCTGGATCTCAAGAAAGGGGTTCTCCACAGAGTTGGGACTGCTATGGAAAAGTTTCCCTTCCCAAGTCCTGCTAGATGACAATATTACCCTCAGGCAGAGACAGTCCTGCAAATAACCTTATCCATGCCAGGTTAGCAAGTCATTAAATAGCAAAATTGAAGAGGCAGTAATGATGACAGTTGATTATTCTTCTCTTCATAGAGCAAACAGGAGAGTAGCAGTAATATGTGACTATGACTGACTAATTATTCTAGTTAAGGACTATAAACTAATTTTGTATTTCTTATGTTATCTGCAATTAAATGGCCAAACTACCACCAATCAGATA